TCTAATGAAAAATTCTTCTAAAGTGTTCTATAAGCAGTTTGCCAGCTGGGAGGAAGATGACCTAAAAACAGTAAGAATGAAAATGGTAGTGAGTTTTTCATCTGTTTGACTAAATAGAAGAATTCTTACATACATTTTACGTAGTTTTAAGGGAGAAGTGGTGACTAGAACACTAACCTTAAGTAACCACTCAAGAATTTAGATACTCTGAAAATTGTCTTGATTTTACAATTGTACTAGAAAATGGCCTGGCAGGTAGGAAGAGGAAAATTATATTTATAGTAGTTCTTTCTTGCCTGTGGTTTTGATTTCTGAAGTTTTAGTTACCTGTCAACTGTGGTCTAAAAATATTAAATGGAAATTTTTAGAAATAGTTCATAAATTTTAAATAGTACCTGATGAAAAGTTTCTTGCCATTGCTTGGGTCCTGAGTCATCCTTGTCTGATGTGTGTACCTTGTACGTGTGTTACCTGCTCATTAGTCAGTAACTGACTCAGTTATCAGATGCATGTGATCAGATAGATTGCCCTATTATTACAGTGCTGTGTTCTAGTAACCTTTGTGTAACTTAACAGTCACTCGAAAGTACAAGAATATAACTTATAGCAGGTCAGATAACTCAAAGGCCATAAAGTGAAACTTTCTTCAGTGGTACCGAGATTGAACCCAGAGCCTTTATGCTGAACTATATCCACAGTACTTTTTAAAAAAATGTATTTAGTACAGAGTCTCACTACACAGCTGGGACTCGTAGTGATCCTCCTGTTTTCAGCCTCCCTAGCACTGGGATTACAGGCATGCACCACCATGCCCAGATTTGGTTGCGGGTTTAGCTAGCCCCGGGGGTAGGGCCACTGTAACATACAGAACCTGGGGATTAAACCCTGGTCCCTGTGCTTGCCAAAGCAGGTGCTTAGTCTGTTGCACCCACAGTACTTTTTGTGGCAGGGTCTTGCAAAGTTGCCCAGCTTGGGCTGGAATTTGGGATTGTCTTGCTCCTGCTAGAGGCCAGGATTATGTGTGCAGTGAGACCTGGTGAAAGGTCTTAAAGCAGTTGTAAGATATGGTACTATGCCTAAATTATAAATTAAATTTAATTGTACTTATGTGTGTATAGAAAACATAGTTATGTTTAGGATTGACTAGTATCTGCAATTTCAGGGATTTCCTGGTTTGTGAAATGTAAGAACATATCACTTGTGGGTAAGGGGGGACTATTGGCATGTAAAACGGCCTTAATCATTTTGGAGGAATGTTAGTACTGTCATTCTTGATGTTGTACATTTAGTGTGTACTAAAAATAAGGAGAATAGCTAGTAAAATAGAAGTAGAACATGTAAAAGCTTTGCTAACTGGTGGAACTCATTGCCTGATGACAATGTGATTGTGTCACTTTACATTTGTGCCAGCCATGTATGAGTTGAGGGTTCCATGTGCTTGTCAGCACTTTATACTGCCCCTTATGTTTAGCCATTTTGAGATTTTGGAATACTAGTATGTACTGAGGTTGGAGAATGTAGTAGAGTAGTGATAAATCATTTCTCTTTTGACTTAAAGGGGGTGGTAGGTGGCTTTGGGGATCTAAAATAATTTACGTTTGATTCTGTCCTCGGGGTCCTATTGACATGTCCCATCCAGTTTATGAAACAAATAATTGGCAGGGCTTAGTGTTTAGAAGGATCCCTTAAACCTACAGTATTTTCATTTCCTTGCTTATGCCCACCTCGCAGATACATTTTCTCCTTTGTAGAGAAAATGGAAAACTCTGACCAAAACTCTTAGCCTAATCTACACATAGTCTGTCTTTGCTGTTTTTACTGTGGGGGAGGTTGCTCTTCTAGCATAGTCTAGTCCCTCTGAGTTTTAAAAATTGAAAATCCTTCACCTTCTTAAGAACTTGATCACATTGCTCTGTTTCTTAGGTAATTTTAGTCACCCTTGGTTACAGTGCCCAGTCATTTTCATTGTATTGTTGTCTCATTTGAAGAACTAGAGCAAGCAAAGAGCATCCCTGGGCTTTCTGGTCTTCACGTAGCCAGTTCTCTACTGCTTCATTCAGCATGACTTCTGACTCAGTTGTATCCTCAAGGTTGCTTTTGTGGCATCATCAGTCACCCCCATATTGCCTGGATTGTGGCATTACTTGTACTACTTCCTTACCGTTTGGTTTGTTGTTATATAGTTATTTGTACCTTGCTTGTATGGTACAAAAAAACCTGTTTTCCCCTAATGTACTGCTTAGGGGGCACTTGGCCTCAACTCTGTGGAGGCTTTCCCACCAGCTCCCTGGTAGACACTGGCTGGGTTTTCAGTCCAACCTTTGTCACCTGGTTAAGGTCTCACTCAGCCTAGTGTAATTTTTTTTGATAGTTGTAATTTTATTGATTACTCCCCTCTATGAAATACAGGTGTTTCTTTTTTTAAAAAATGTATTTAGTTCAGGGTCTTCAGGGTCTCACTATGTAGCTCAGACTTGTAGTGATCTACTGTTTTTAGCTTCCCAAGTGCTGGGATTATAGGCGTGTGCCACCACGCCCAGTTTCAATCACTGTCTCAGTGTGACCTGGGGATGGGGCCGGTGTGGCATGCCGGGGATTAAAACCCGGCCACTGCATTCTGCCTAAGCAGGCGCCTTAGTCTGTTGAGCTGTCTGGCTGGCCATAAATTGAGGTTCTTGCCACGTGTTAGGCACATGCTATTAATACTGAACACACCATCAGCCCTGTAACTTTAGTTTTACATATTTTGTAATTTTTAAAATTAATTTTGGGGAAGTAAAGAAGGGGTTGCAGTATTTACATCTTTTATTTTTTAGTATATGCAAATTTTTTTTTTTTTTTAACTGTTTTTACAGGTCACACTAATAAGTTTTTTCTTTTTCTGGGGGAGGGAGGAATACAGGAGCTTGAACCCAGGGTTTTGCGTGTACCATAAGCCCATGCTATACTATTGAGCTGCATCTCAGCCCTTAGCTTATAGTGATTTTTCCTTTGTCTCTTTTAAAGGAAATATAGCTCAAAGTCATGAGTATCCTGTCACAAATAACAATTTCTTGGTCGTTTTTCTTTATCCCTTTCCCTTTTTCCTGTCCTGCCTTGTGTATAGTCTTCCTGATTTGCCCATGTGTTATTTGTAACTTTCTTTGCAATAAATGGTGTTCCTTTTTCTTATGTGACTGCATTTCCCATTTAAAACTTTTATTTTGTAGATATTTATAAGACGCAACAAATGTGGCCACACAGAATTGAGAATCAAAGTTCATTTATCTTTCTCTACTGTAAGGATGCTAATGTTACAAAGCAACAGTTGAATAGTCTAAAATTACAAAGATAGCCAGGTATAGTGGTACACATCTGTAATCCCAGCATTCAGGAGACTTGAGGTAAGGGTAGTGCCACATGTTTGAGGCCAGCCTGGGCTAAATGGTGAATTCAAGACCAGCCTGAACTACACAGCAAGACCCTATGTCAAAAATAAATGAATACGTAAATAAATAAAGGCTGATTCTGAAATGCTTTGGTTTAGGTAACATCTTTTTAAACTTTATACCAAACTAGGTCTGAGCTGTAGGGCAGATAATTTTGGATTTGGTAGACTTATTTTAGTGAAAGTGATTTTTGTGAAATTTTTACCGCTTTGTAAATTCAGTATAAATAAATATTTTGCACATTGGGAGTTAAGATCTATTGTGCTAAAAGTTGAGTGGTGGTTGATCCCTGGCAGACATGTTGCGTCACCTTTATTAGCTTCAGGCATCTTTGAGAGGGTAGGGTATTCAAGCCCTGTAGTTTTAGGGCTCCAATCAGTGACGTGGGGCAGTTAACTCAGGATTTAAGTAAATACTTAAGTTATCCTGGAATTATACCTGAATTAAATAAATCTCCATCTAGACAAGCCATTTGAGACTGGAAAAATCCAAGTTTTGCAGCTGACCAAGTGATGGAGCCTGTTTATATCTTCAGAACTCTTGTGTTTTTACTGTTTTGATTTGTTGTACAATTAGTGTATGGATTCATTGTTTTGTGCTGGAAGACTTCTTTATAGTCTTGGGGGTTTTAACAGTGAACTGTGGCTTGTGGATAATAGGCCATCACCTGTACTTGTTTTATGCATTTGGATGAATTTCTCTGCCTGCAGTATTTGAAGTCTCTGTGCCCAAGGCCTATCTAAAATAGATTCACATTTTAAAAATACAGGCCATGGTTATTTTACATTTGCGTGGCAGTGTTTGTTTTCAGTTGTATTTCCATTTCCACAGATGTTTTGGATAACCTAATATTAAAATGAAGTTGAGGTGACTGCACACAGTATTAATAGGTGGGAAAGTGATGAGAGCTGCAATTTTGTCTCAAAAGTGGATAATCTGCACCTCCCCACCTGGGCTCCTTAGGACCACTCCTTGCTGCTGTTTGAAGCTGCCTCCTGAACAAGGGTAATGACAGGTTAGATTCTGAATGCGCCCCGCTGACGCAAGGAAAAGCTGAGGCCCATAGGACTTTATGGGGCAAGGGTTATGCTTGTTTAAAAACAAAACAAGCTGCTTCACGTTAACGAGGCTATTTAAGGTGGCTTTCCCAGAATGAGAAAAGAATACAGTCCCAGTTTGGAGGTTGAAATACGAGTTTTTGTGTCTTAAGTGTGTTTACTAATAAGCTCACGGTGTTTTGTTAGCTGAAGGGAGTTTTAAAAAGGCTGCCAGTAGGGGAAGAAGTGGAGGAGGGAGGAGGGAGAAGGAGGTGGTGGTGGTGGTTCTGTGGTTGTAGGATGAACTAGGTGGAATGTTTTTACGCTGTGAAAACACGAATTCACACATTAATTCGGACAGTGTAATCCATGCTAGCAAGAGCTCTGTGTAGCTTTTAGATTGAAACGTTGAGAAATCGACCTACTGAGCCGCGGCTCCACTTAAATTTAGGGAGGGCACACCACCATCGTTAGGCGGAGTGTTGGTTGTAGCCCTGCCCCTCTTTGGTCCCGCCCCGGTGGTGGCCCCGCCTTGGGCGCGGCAGCTCGGGACGCGCAGTTACAGGAGTGGCGGACGACTCAGGCTGTGGCCGCTCCGTAGGGCGCTATCGGGTCTGATCCGAGCCAGCTAAGGATTGCTCAGGGCACCTGGCCGCCCCCGGTTGGCAGGAGCTGGGCAGGACAACTTTTTAGGCTGACGAGACAGGCTCAGCTATGGCTCCCAGTTTTGGAGACACTGGCGAATTTGAGCTCAAGGAGGTGTGGTCGTCTGCTGGAGTTCAAGGCCTTTTTTCTGAGTCTGTAGTGAGGCGGTGATTCTGGGGTGGGAGTGGATGGAAGGAGCCTGGCCTCGCACGCGGATCTGGAAACTACTTAAGCACTGGAGCTGGCCAGAAGGGTCCTGTGGTGTAGATTGCTGTGGGGACACCATGAGCTGCCTGACTTCTCATGACGGGGAAGCCTGCTGTGCCTGCTCTGTACTCCTGGAGGGAAGTCTTGCTCACGTGTCTACCGACGACTAGGACAAGGAAGAGAAAAGGTACTGATTGGAAAGACCCTGCTAAAGACAGAATTGAAAGCAGCAAACCCTAGAGTCTGCTGTGGGGAATGGCTGCGGCCTGAGTGAACGCTTTCAGCTTTGAGGCTGATGGTGAGGTTTCATGTATGCTGTTATACTCAGTAAATCAAAAAATCAGACTTCTCTCAGGCTGGAACTTCTGCAGGGCTGTGCTGTAAGTTCCTCCTGCAAGGCCTGCTGTGCTTTTCCGGTTCAGCCTAGAGCTGGGTTCCGCCTTTGGAACTCAGCTCCATAAGGTTTTGGCATTTGATATCCTGTAACGCCTTCATTCACAAGAAATACTGGCTACACTTGTTCATGCTTCCAGTAGGAATTACAGTTTGCTCTTTAACTGGAAGTTGTACAGATAAAGATACAATGCAGACAAGAACTGTTGATAAATGTTAGGCTTATGTTGCTAGGCCGAGAGATTGGATAGCCGTGTTTTAAATCTCTTTTATGTTAAATATAAACGGAGTGTACTGCCCTTTGATGTGAATACTGTTTGGTTTAGTAATTTGAAAGGTAGATACTTAGACAGTTTTGTGCCCACAGAATCGTTTTTCAGTTTTTGTGCGGGACACATGAAATAGGCATAGATTGAGTTTACAGACAGGGTGATTTGGCAACACTAATAAGCCCATTGTCTTACAGGTGACATAAAATGGATGACTAAGTCTATGTACAAAGAATTTACTGGGAGGGAAATGGGATTACAGGAGAGGTCCATCATAGTCCTTTTGTCAGGATTCCCTGGATTACACATAGCTTCAGATAATGCCAGTTGATCTTGTATTTCTAAATCTGTGTAAGCCACGTAATGGTGAAATTAGGTTAGGATTCTAGGGATGTATGTGGGTTTGATCCCTATGGCCTCACAGATGCAAAACAACTATTACACTTCTCTTTCTCCTGGAGCATTAGAATTTTCTTTTAGTGGCAGAATTAATTTGTGCCCCTCCCGCCCCCATTTAGTTTCTGTTGGTAGCCACTTGAGTAATCTGGAACCCAGAGTGTACTTACTTTCTTTATTAAACATTTAACTTCTTTGCAACAGAATGATGACTGTAATTGAGAGTAAACTTTAAGCTTGGGGCTTCACTTTTGCAGAAATAGGGCTGCAATGTCTTCTTAGACCATCATCTTATTGATCTTTGTTACCTGCAGAGATAGATTCTTGGTGTGTGTGGGGGAACAGCTTGTGTTGTTTCTATTTGATTCATCCTCAGTAGTTTCTTGATTATGTCTTCTAAAAGACATTTATCTGATAAGTGATGGTATTTATCCATTTGATGATTGTTTCAGCAGCACTGGGAAACCCCAGGTTTGCAGGGAATTCATCAACATTGTGTGTGTGTGTGTGTGTGTGTGTGTGTATATATATATGTATATATATAGTGGTTTTATCTATATATATGTAGTGGTTTTATCTTTATTCTTCTACCTTCTGACTCCTTCTTTTCCCTTATGTATCAAGATTTATATAATGGAATGGAAATAGAATAGAGTGAGGTTCTTTCTCTAAACAGTAGATTAACAACTTTAAGGATGGCCCTAGCAGGTCCTTTTCCTGTTATTCCTTGTACCCCATTCCCAAAGTGTATACCTAGAGAAGATACTCCTTGCCAGCAGTCAGGATGTGGTACTTTGGCATATGAACTACACAGGACCTGTAACGCCTTGAAATGTTCAGCAGCTGACTGAGTATTGGAAAGAAATAGAGTTAGAGACTCTCAGGGAGAATAGTCTCCAATCAAAACAGATCTGATTATATTTACAGTACTTATACAGTGTCTTTATTTTATATTTCTCATTGTGTGTAGTTTATCCAAAGATGATAGTACTTTTGAAGGGGCAGATATTAAATATCTGAGACAGTTTGAAAAACAGGTTTAACCAATGTATAACACCTAATTACAAAATGTATTTTCAGTGTAATTTATATTTTTGTCTGATTTTTACAGTTGTAATTATATTTCTTCTGCCGCTTTAATTTTTTAAAAACTTTCTATTACAGAAATGAGCCGTCAGACTGCTACAGCATTACCTACTGGTACCTCCAAGTGTCCACCATCCCAGAGGGTGCCTGCACTGACCGGCACAACTGCATCCAACAATGACTTGGCGAGTCTTTTTGAGTGTCCCGTCTGTTTTGACTATGTGTTACCACCCATTCTTCAATGTCAGAGTGGCCATCTTGTTTGTAGCAACTGTCGTCCAAAGCTCACATGTTGTCCAACTTGCCGGGGCCCGTTGGGATCCATTCGCAACTTGGCTATGGAGAAAGTGGCCAATTCAGTACTATTCCCTTGTAAATATGCCTCTTCTGGATGTGAAATAACTTTGCCACACACAGAGAAAGCAGACCATGAGGAGCTGTGTGAGTTCAGGCCTTATTCCTGCCCATGCCCTGGTGCTTCCTGTAAGTGGCAAGGCTCTCTGGATGCTGTCATGCCTCACCTGATGCACCAGCACAAGTCCATTACCACCCTGCAAGGGGAGGACATCGTTTTCCTCGCGACAGACATTAACCTTCCTGGAGCTGTTGACTGGGTGATGATGCAGTCTTGTTTTGGTTTTCACTTCATGTTGGTCTTGGAGAAACAGGAGAAGTATGATGGTCACCAGCAGTTCTTTGCAATTGTACAGCTGATAGGAACACGCAAGCAAGCTGAAAATTTTGCTTACCGACTTGAGCTAAATGGTCATAGGCGGCGATTGACTTGGGAAGCTACTCCTCGATCTATTCACGAGGGAATTGCAACAGCCATTATGAATAGTGACTGCCTAGTCTTTGACACCAGCATCGCACAGCTGTTTGCAGAAAATGGCAATTTAGGCATCAATGTAACTATTTCCATGTGTTGAAAAGGCAGTCAAATATTTCTGGGCCAGTGTTTAAAACTGTTGCATTCAGTTTCACAGAGATTGAGGCACCCATCTGCCTATCTGGTAGGTGGAAGCTAGACACATGAAGGTAAATAAAAGAGAGGCTTTAAATACAGGAAACAGTTGCATGTAGTAACACTAATATATTTAAAAATAAGTCAACAGTAAACCACTGAAAAAGTATATATATATACACCCAGGATGGGCATCTTTTGTATTAAGAAAGGAAGCATTGTAAAATAATACTGAATTTTGTGTTTGTTGTAGATTGATTGTATTGTTGAAAATTTTGGGTTTCTTTTGTTTTTGGCGCGCATTTGTTTTTCCTTTAACTGAAAGCCATTGGGTGGTCCTGGGCCACCAATTCTCCCCTTTGTGAGTCAACACATAGTGCTGCTGTGGTTCTGTCCCGTGTCCCCTCCCCACATCCCCACCCCCAGTGTGTGAGTGTATTTGCTAATTTTTATTAATTCTAGTTTTTCATTAAATAAATTACTTTCTTTTCTGTAATTCAGGGTTTTCCTCACTTTTTTGTACCTTTTTAAAGTTAGTGTCTTTTGATATGCATAATTGTTTATGGTAAAGTTTGTGTTCAGTACATTCTTTCCTCATTAATCAGTTCACTAGAAAGCTTTTACATTAGGCTATTTGTGAAGATAGGATTCCCTGAAAGGGACCCTGGGAAGAATTATCAAAAGCTACTTAAAACAGCTCATGATAGTCTCTTTCTCATTCTGTCACTGTTTCCATTTGTGTGATACCTTCAGGCTTACTTTTTGAAAGGTTAGGGAATAAATTCTGAGTTACCTAATACTGAAAAACCAGGCTTCTTATTTTTCTTTTCAAATATCTTGGACAAATCACATGTTTAAAATTTGTTCCTGTATTTATCGGTTTTGCAAAAGAAAGTATCATCATCATACACAATATTTGTAATTAAAAATCATTTGTTTAAAAACAGGCAGTTTGCAAAAAATGTTTTTGGTCTTTTATAATTCTCATTAAAAGATTATCTGGCAAATTAAAAAATTTTAATGTGTCTGCTTTAGATCTGAGTTCATGAAGTACAGTCTGCCCGCCTATCTTTTCCAGCAGGATTGTCATCTGAATGGCCTTGAATTCATGTTTCCCAGGCTAGCCTCAAACTCATGGCCAACTTCCTGCCTCAGCTTCCTGAGTGCTGGAATTACACCACCACACCTGGCATTTCTGTTAAAACATTTGCAGGAAAGATTGTTTAATCTCTTTATGTAGAAAGTATTTTTTGGAATTGGTTGAAACATGTGCCTATCTAGCCATAAACGTGGTTGAACCACAGATTTTTTTTTTTTTTTAATGTATTTAGTACAAGGTCTCACTACAGATTGGACTCGTAGTGGTTCTTCTGTTTTCAGCTTCCCAAGCACTGGGATTACAGACGCACAACAGTGTGCCCCAGGGACGGAGCCAGCATAGCACCCCAAGGATCGAACCCTGGTCCCTGTGTCTGCCTAAGCAGGCACTATAATCCACTGAGCTATCTGGCTGGCCCTCAACCACTGATTTATATTCAGGTTATTTTATTAGCATGTGTGTTTAACAAAATCACTTTTACTTATTTAATTTTATGTATTTGGTACAGGGTCTCACTACGTAGCTTAGACTCATAGTGATTCTCGTTTTCAGCCTCCCCAGCGCTGGAATTACAGTTAAGCATCACCATGCCCAGACTTGGTTGCCAGCTCAGCACTCTCTGCGGTGTGGGGCTAGAACAGCATGTAGGATGAAACCTGGTCCTTGCACTTTGCAAAAGCAGGCACTTAGTCTGCTGAGCTATCTCGCTGGCCCTAAAGAAGCTTTTAATGTAATTTTTTTTTTTTTTTTTTTTTTCCCAGTACTGGGGATCGAACTCAGAACATTTCTGTACATTTTCTGATTATATTCTTGGGATTCAGTAAATATTTTTATCCCTTTGGTTCCCAGGACTTTGCAGTGAACTATGTGTATCGTTATTTTTTTTAGATTGGAATTCATTAAGGCACTAAATTGCCCACGCTGGACTTGAACTTTGAATCCTCTTGTCTCAGCTTTCCAGATGCTAGAATTATAGGTGGGGCCATTGTACAAAGTGGAGTTATTTTTATTTTTTATTTATTTTTTTTTTAGTGGAGTTATTTTTAAAGTCATGAATTACTGCTTTTTAGTGGACTCTACACTTAAAGTGGAAATAAGAGGAGTTTGTTTCACTGTAACCTTGGATTTTGCTAATTTGAACAAATTAAGGTAAATCCTGTGTTTGTTTTGCAATTGGAAGGCTTTTCCATATTCTTGGCCTAAGGGGTGACTGACTTTATAGCCACACTTCTTGAGAGTTGATTGATGAGGTTTAACTTTTTGTTTTGTCTTTTTGAGACAGGGTCTTATACGCAGTTCAGGCTGGCCTTGAGCTCATTTTGTAGCCCAGGCTGGTCTCAAACTCAGTGATCCTCCTGCCTCAGCCTCCCAAGTGCTGGGATTATGCCCGGTTGAGGTCGCACTTTTGTTCTTAACTTTTTTCCTTTATAATGAATAGTTTCTATTAATCCTCCTATTCTTTATTTTGGTGGTGTCTTTCAGGAGATCTTATGGGTTAGTCATAGTAATATGCACCCCTTATTTCTGTGAAGTAACATGAGTGAGTAGATTATTAGCTCACACACACACACAGATATACCCACTTCGTGAGTTTAGGACCATCTGCCGTGATGCTAATAGAATTTTACTTCAGATCCATCTTTCCTTTTTCTTCCCTCTCTGTCTGTGTCTCTCTCTCTGTGTCTCTCTCTCTCTGTCTCTCTCTCTTTTTTTTTTTTTTGCAACAGGGTTTCACTATGCAGTTCAGGCTGGCCTCAAACTTGGAAACAATTTTCTTGCCTCAGCCTCCCAAATATTGGGATTACAGGTGTGCGCCACCATGACTGGTTTATTTCAGATTTCTAAGTGGAATAATTAGTGAGTGATCCAAATTGAAACACTGGCTCAAATTTAATATACCTGGTTCCGTTTGGCTACATCCAGTACAGTGGATGAAAGTGACTTGGTAGGTAAGCGGGCAGGCAAAGGGTGTGCACTTAGCAACTAATACTGCAGCCCCTGGTCCAGGCAGAGCAGTACAGAAGACTGTAAAGTGGACTCTCCACTGTGACTGTAAAACACAGGCTTCCTTGGGAATTATTGCTTCTGATGTTAAACCAGGTAGATTATTTATCAAAGAAGTGCACATTTATCCAAATATGACATCCAAACAAAATTGTATCATACTTAAAAGCCCCTGCCAAGCTTTTGTGGCAAGCACTGTGGATTGGGCCTGGGTGTCTGAGATGCCTCTTGTGTGTACTCTGCCTCTTTGCCTGGCTGCCTTGGACAGGTGCTGCAGATCTGCTCATGGGGCCAGAAGATGGCTCACTGCTGTCCAGGGCTTCACTTCACCTGGCACTGTGGCCCCTGGGCTGACTGAACCCCACTTCCTCTCTCTGCAGCTTTCAGCAATTTCTTTGTTGAAGTTAATTTTATTATATGTAATTTTCTTAGTCTGAATATCAATGTAGAATTAATGCAGACTGATATAAAGGGATCCTTGATTTTGTGAATTGCACTTTGACAGGCTTGCACTGTTAGGTAAAGAAAGTTTTAGTCTGAAGGGTTTTTGTTTTCCGTTTCCTAGAAATGTGCTCATAAGAGTTATTTAAATTATTCTATTAAACAATTGGATGATGCTCTTAAGTTCATTAAGTACAGTATGTTCCAAATAAGTGAATTTTTATTGCGATTAAATAAAGCTTTTTAAGAATTAAAACCTTTTGAAACAACTGCCTTAGAACGTTTCAACAGCCATTGATTGGCTTTGGATGTTGCACTTATTTTAATATTTTGTTTCTATTTTATTGCTGCTTTTAAAAAACTTTAACTTTCATTGTATGATACATTTGTTAGTAAAACAAAACAAAACTAGCATTGGCATTGGACCATGAATCATTAAATGGCATGGTGACTGTAGGTCTGGTGTTTCCTTAAACTCAACGTGAAGGAGCTCAAGTACAGATCTTTATGGCCAAAGTAATGTGAGCTTGAACATGTTACTTCATTAGAACAGAACTACTTTACATCTGGTAATCTCAGTTAAGATACAGACTTGGAAAAGGAATTGGCAAAATTAATTTCTCCTTTTTTTGTAGTACACTAAGTCCTTGACTTACGAACAAATTCTGTTCCAGAATTGTAAGTTGGATTCGTTTGTAAGCTGATGAAGGGAGTCTGCATACAGTACATCTGTGAAAGTCAGGGATGTACTATCCTGAGGACTGATTCTAGACCCTTACACTGAGCTATATCCTTAGCCCCCTTTTCTTCTTTTTCTTTGAGAGAGGGTCTCACTAAGTTAGTAAGTGGCCTAGGTTAGGTATAAACTTGTGGTCCTGGAGCTTCAGCCTTCCAGATGTGTGTCCTCATGCATGACTAAAAACACTATGTGGCTAAGAGTCAAGACTTTTAGTATCCTATACTTCATTTTAGTAGTTCATAAAGAAAAAAATTTAAATCCTTTTTACCCTCAGAGGCTATCTGACATGGGTTGATTGTGTTCAAGCGTCAGTCACCTGGCCCCAGAACACTTTCCACATGGGAGTCAGAGTCCTCTGTCTCATGTAGTCATCACATGTCCTTGGAGATGACACTGGAAGTGAAACCCACTTGTGTTCCCACTACTAGGAGGAGAGTTGTGGTGTAACAAGAATGTACCCTTTGGTGCTGGGGTCCCCGGGGCCTCAGGAATGCTAAGCATAGCTTCTGCCAAGCTACACCCCCAGCCCAGAAGGTAGAACCTGACTGGAGTCAGGAAAAGAGAAAGGAAGGATTATATTTATGGGACACCTAAGCATGTAAACTCCCTGTCTTAGTTCCTTTTCTTATTGCTGAGGCAAAATACTGGACTCCTAAAGTTAAAGGGCAGTCCATAGTTGGCTGGCTCCAAGGCAGGGTGGCATAGCAGAGAAGAAAGTATGGCAGGCAGAAGACTGCAAAAGCAACTGCACTACAAATTCAGCAAGAGGATGAGAGCAGCTTCTTTCTGCCTCTTTTATACTCTATCCAGGCTACTTGGCGTAGGGTGGGTGCTAAACATACCAGTGAACTGATTTAGTAACTACACACTTAAAAATATTTATTTGTTACAGGATCTCACTACACAGTTGAGACTTGTAGTAATCCTCTGTCTCAGCCTCTCCAGTGTTGGGAATACAGATATGCACCACCATGCTTGGTTTTGGGGCCAGCATGGCATTCCAGAATTCCAGGGCTGGCAAGGCATGTGGTACTGGGGATTGAACTAAGGTCCTTGTGCTTGCCAGGCAGGTGCTTAGACCGCTGAGGTATCTTCCCACCCCTAGTAACCACACATTCTTATTCCCAGTATCACACACCACAGATGTAGCCATTTCTGAAAAGCCTTATTTATGACTGCATGAGGCTTTAGGGGGTCTTCTGGACAGAAGCTGTAACATTCTACCCTGGGCTTTTCAAAGACTCATGCACATCCCTTTATGTAAAAGGCATTTAGTCCACCTCAGAGTTGCCAAAGTCCTAACAGTTGGAACATTGCTGAAAAGTCCAAGTGCAAAGGCTCCTCTGAGGTTTAAGACAAAACTTATCTGCAAGCCACTGTATAATTGAAAAGAAAAACACTTTCAACATATAATGGCAAAAGGTACAAACAGGGATAAAAAAGAATGGGACCAAAGCAAGTCCAGAATCCAGCAAGGCAGACATTAAGTCCTGTAGGTCCATGTGCAGCATCCAAGACAATGTGGCAAGACGTAAACTCCAAAGGGCTTGGGTGGCTCCACCACTCCTGCACTTCTGGCGTTATGGCTCCCATGGCTGTCTTGGGCCTGCTCTGCTCTCTTCTAGTTTGCCTCAGATGATCCATATTCCTGAGTTCTCCAACATTCTGGGGTCTCTACCTTCAGCTTCACTCATAGCTTCACACATTGCTCAC